ACCGAAAATAGTAACGAATTCCCGTTCATTTCAGACAATTTCTGTATTTGTCTCAAAGTGACAAAGAAATTCTATGGGCTATCAAATTATTAAATTGTAACGTAAAGCAGTGATGATACATTTTTTCTAAAACACTTTGTTTTATTCACATTTTCTGTTATATGTTTTCATACATATTTTTATATTTACATATGTTTATTATTTTCGAGTTATTGTTTGGTTAACATTTTGATATCATTTACACCTTGTCGCTCTCTAAATAAGAGATGGTGATAAGAACAACATACAATCTAAAAAATGACATTATTACAATATAGACTTAGTTTTTCGGTTTGAACACGAAATTGTAAATTTAAATTAATTTAAGAGATTATTTATTTCAAAACAGTTTAATGCATAAGACATGCATTTAAAAGCCTACGCACCGCAGTGATTTTTTGACCCGGATATTTAAGTCTTGGGCTCATCCTTTTCCTGTGGATTCACCAAAATTTTGAGGGCCTACAATATTTCTTAGTTATGGAATTCATAAAAATTTATTAAATTGTGTTCTAAAGTAACACTAAAATAATCCTGTAAAAATCACTGATACTTTTGAAAACTAATCTCTTTGACAAGTAACGGAGTGTAATCGTTATATAATTCCTCACCCCTCTGTTGCTTTATATTCAAATAGGATTAAGACTATTTCCTTTTGAGAACATGGTGACAATGATAAAACTCCCCTATGGTCTTATTAACAACTGTAGAAATTGCCTGATGTTGGTTTTCGTAATATTTGTATATACAAAAAGGTACGACCACTTTATGTAATGAAAACAAGTGTCTTAATTTTAAGTCACTCCTTCTGTTAAGATTGTCATTAAAATCAAACGTTTCACACCAATTTCGCGATCTGCTGGCGTCAAGATAAAACCATCTGCGATATGTTATGAAATAATGCAAAGATTATTTTCGAAAAATATTTGGAAGATAGAAATACATACATTGAAATGAAAACTAACAAAGAATGACTTTTAGAATATACAAATGTACTTAACGTTGTCCCTTCATTATCAGATGTATGAAAAATACGAAAATTACTGATTCATGGTGCACCTTCACATCTGCATTTTGACGTTTCTGTCGATTAATTTGCATTCTCCTTACTCGCCCCATATGCTTTAAAAGTTAAGCCCTTAACATCACTGACGAGTCCTTGAAGGACGAAACATCTGTATGATGCAGTTTAATTAATTAATTGACTCAACTTTAAAGTTGTATTAAAAGGTGCGGTTCACTTGTGTGTCTTGTACAATTCCCGCGAAGAATATATCTCTTTCGTCTGAAGCTTTTATCAAAATGAACAAAATAGAAAATAAAAAAAAAATTATATCATCTGGTGAACTTAACGATCTTAAACTTATCTGGTGGCCCAATTTAAACTCGTCGACTACATTCGTGTCAAGAGAGGAAATCTGATTTGTGGACGAATGTGTTAGTAATAAGAACATGTTGTTTTAATTGCCTATCTCGATTTATCATTCTGTATATTACTCGTAGCTACAGAACCAAACTATTGATTTACACACATTGAAACACAGCGACAAATCTGACATCAATCAACTTGGGAATGAACTTCAAAAAGACGTAAAACTACAGCACACAATCATAGATAACAATTTGTAAATTTACAAATAGTACTAATGAAGCCACCAGGTAACACTGTATGGTTTCTGTTTCATTCTTCCGACATATTTTGAATCAAAGCGCCTCTGAGATACAGATGACCTAAATAGTTTTATTAGTAGACTACATAGCTCCTTCAGGCCTTATGGATCTACTACAAAGCAAATAGCCATAGTAAATATTTTATTGAATGCGATAAAAAGTTGTAGAAGGATGCCATAGAAAATTTTAAAAGTTTTTATTTTAGCTCAGACATGAACTTCTATAAGTTTAAAAAGCTTCGTCAAGACATTATCATGACTCACTATTGGTTAGATGCCTTCATGGTATTTTTGTTTGAAATGCCATGGTATTTGTGTCTTATTACTTATGAAGTTTATATTTCTTATTTTATCCGGGAAAATTCAATTATATACAAAAAACCCATACTCATAATTGCTATACATAAAATAGACTTCGATATGTATTTAAGTCCTCGGTAGATATCATGTCTTTTAAACTATTTATACATAGAACATTAGCTGTTATTACGATAAATATGTGTGGAAACAAGATAAGAACTTCACATAAAGCAACAAGGAAACTACCAACATGTCAACAAAATCATAATCCAAACTCAAACTCAATAAACCTAGGGCAAAATATTAACAAATAGATGATTTGCACGACGACTCCTTCAACAAGTACAAGGAGAATGCGAGCAAGTGATCCGGAAGAAGAGGCGCTTTCTGCTGCGTCGCCGACATCCACCATGTAAATGTTGATTAAATCCAAGTAAGCAATGTCATGTTCTCAAATGAGAACAAGGTATACACTAACGAAATTAACAGGCTAACTAACGAGCATCAAACACATCTCAGCCAAAAGATTGCTCGTATATAAGCAAGATTAGGAGTAAAACTAGTTGAGGACAGGAAAGACTAACATATTACACAAAATTCATAATAGACATAAGTTTACAGAAATGTAGTATTGAAAAAAGTTATAGACTGAGGGTAATTGTGCAACTCCAGCCTATCAGACACTCTAGTCGCTACACAAAGACATTTCATCTAAAAAAAGGGGGCAGAGTGAAAGGGCTTAGGGCGCAGGAGAATATGTATTTCGTATTTAACAACACTCTCTAGTCACTATAAAAAAAAAGTCTTGAAGAAGCAGCAGGTTAGGGAATTCCTACTTAACAAAACTTCCTAGCCACTTAAGATAGACATTTTATTTTTTGAAAAGGCAGAGCGGAAAAGGGATCAAGGAGCATGAGATTAGGGAATTCGTATCTACGAAACTCTCTGGCCACTACTAATTAAATAATTTTGAAGAGCAGAACGGAGAATGGATCAGAGTGCGTGTGATTGGACAGAACAGTTACCTAACGAAAAACATGTACAATCATGTTCTAAAATCCCGAGTAGCGTTCTTTATGATATAGTGGTCTGACATTTTCTCATACCTCAGTCTATTCTTATACTTCAGCTTTGACATTTTGTTCAAATTCCCTCATGCATCGATTTGAGCAATCAAATACTCGATCAGATTGTACAAACGACACACATGTGAATAATAGCACCGTTCAATACTGAAAAAGAATCAATTCTAGTGTGTTTTGCAGACACCATAACTATATTTTTATACACATATTTCAAGTGTGAAACCGACCAAATGAGTATCTACAGTTACATAATAACATGCCTGATTCGCCACCTTATGGTATGAACAAACACTGATGAGAACAAATGGCAATTACACCTCCAAATGATTGTCTATATTACATGTTGTTTAGAAAAGGACAATTGCATATCACACCCATAAAGCATAACACCTTCTAAAGAAACTGGTCAAAAACTGATGAAAGACATATCTGGACGAAGTTTAAATTAACTCCTCCGAACATTGTTGAATCTAACTGCCGCTGACGCAGTATCACTATAGCACCATATACGCCATTTCAAACGTTTTGACGAGTGTATAAAAACTACATAGTTTCATAGAGACGATTTCAGATGAACAAAACTGGAAAATTTAATGCTGTCGTCCATTGTTTGTTAGCCGGGTGATCTCGATGTTTTAACATGGTTATAATTGAATTTATCACGATTTATATGTCGATTGTTGTTGATAGAAAATACGCTTTCACTTGCGGATTACCTGGTCTTATTATCCTTGTATATTAAAGGATATATTTGTTAATGTTCCAGTTTAACAGGAACCCATTGACCACAGAAACATTTGATATTCATGAGTATATATTCCAACCAGGTTCTGATGGTATGAAACGAAATATAACAACTTGAACGTTATTACATGCGAGTTTCATTCATTGAAAAAACAACTGAAGTTTCAATAATATTTAGTAAAACGTGATATATTTCATTTCCACCTGTCTTTTTGCTCTGGTATATTCAAGGTTTGTGGCGACATTGGTGTTTTGTTCCCTATGTTTAGTTCTGTTTGAGCTCTTTCCTTTATTTCGTTTTGCCTGTGAAATATGCTATCCAGTCAGTTGTGGTTGTTCGGTTTTATGTGGTAAATATGTTTGGAGCTTGCGTTAACACATCAACATTTATAGTCAGACTCATATCACACCTAAGTCAAGCCATGGATATTAGGAAAAAGCGGGGTCGACAATTATCTAGCAGGTATATGGGCGGCCCATAAAAAACGTTCCATGTAGCAATAAAAACTCGTAGGTGTTGTGATTTCAAGCATTCAAACCTGGTAATACGACGGAATCTATTTCGTCATTGCTAACATATAAGTATCACTTTTACAATTTTATTGATTTTTTAACGGCCGCACGAGTGATTTTATCTGTAGATAACATAACTAGATCGCATTTATGACTGTAGAATCATCAGAGATAAAATATGAAATTGTAAGAGTGGTAACAATTTTATGAAATCGATAATAATGACCTTGACCTCATCGTTATGTCAGGCTAAAAAAACACACACAAATGAAACAGTTAAAGTCGCTTCTTTTTATAAACAGACCTTACCGTTGCCGTAACAGCTACAAGACACCACTTTGATTGTGAAATAAACTTCGACCAAGAGTTAACTTGTGTAAGCTATTGCTATAAGGTGACAACACCGGGTCGCCGATCGTAAGTCAGAACGTTAGCACTCTTGATTTTGTATACGACCATGACTCAAGGTACAACCTTCTTTACCGAACTACATTACCTGCTCCAAATCAATACAACAAAAATTTTGGTCGAACACATTACGCAATATTATACGTCTCAGTGGAAAAAAAGGAAAATTGAGTTACTACATATACTAAAATCATTATCACTTTGGTAAACATAACAAAAAATAAAGAATATATGTCTTTTTTCAAACTTTATTTATAGTTTAAACCCTTTTGTATGTATAAACGTAGAAATAGGTATGATCTTTTAAATTTTAAACTTAAATACATGCCATTAGAGAAACATTATAGAAACAGGAGAATAACATAGTATTGCTCAGTGTACATGTGAATTACATGAAGGATATAAGACATGTATCACCATTTTGTAACATGTATACAAAAAGAACACACCACAATTATAGAAGTCTGGCGTTCGGTTCTGAAGTCGATGTTCGTACAATTCAAAAGGCGTATCTGTTGTGGTCATCTGCTGTAGATTGGCCGTAACATTAAGGCTTGTTAATCAGTATCATACATGGGCCTGATGTTCATTTCCTTCTAGAAATTTGATAGGTGTTTGGCTGTTTTAACTGTGTTTTAAATAAATATCATCAAGACTTGATTATCCATTGTTTTCTTTGACTACCATCATGTGAATCTTCAGGAAAGTGCTTGCTACTCTTATTATTTCCTGATTGAAACTAGACAGATTTTTGTTGTGTTTTGCAGGGAAATTTTCATATTTCATAATATATTGTTTCCTCAGAGTAACTTAATTAGTCCCGTATTTCTTGTTCCTTTACTATAACATTAACAGGAAAAACCCTTGAATTTCCAATGCACAGAACATGTCAAATGTCATGAATCTTCATTTCCATTAATTGCATTAATTATAAAACTAATCATGGTATTACTTGGTTGTCTTACGTTACTGATATAACAGAAATGATCTTTTACACGTAAGTAATCAATTTCTTCAACTTGTAAATGTTTCGAAGAAAACAGTGCGGAAACTAAAGCAAATAGTCCATGATTTATCTAGAAACGATTCTGTGAAATATTTAATTGGTGGAAGAGCAATTTATGCAAGCTGCTATTTTTCCTTCCGAATGAATATTTTTTCTATTGAAATGTACATTTGTCAATTCATTAATCACAACAGTACAGCAATGCCAACAGAACAGCTTTGTCCTGACACTGATATGACGTCAAAAGTTCCTCTTTATTACTCGCACAAGAGCAGTCATCTATTTTCATTATCAGAAATTAACAGTTGTGTTACTTTAAAAAATAGCTCTGTTTAATTTCATTTCATACGACAAGTTAAATTAACACGACAGCTATTCCAAACAACGCATGACATTTCCGAAATTACTCTGAAACACTGACAAAAGTACAAAACACGTGATTAAAGTGAATAAAAACACCACGTGACATGATTAAACTTCTCGCGTCAATCGTTATAACAAACTACGAAGTTTCAGAATCACATACTCAGCAATTTAAAGCAACCAAAGGATGGTACAGAAGTCACACAAGTTACAACATGGAGCACCCTTGTAAACGAAATTTAGTGACGGATGTATGACGAATAGTGAACGGGGGACAGAAATAACGACACGCAACCTAATCATTTTCACAAAGCAAGATAACTGCTTCTTGTCACTAACTTACAAAAAATAAAATGCATAGTCAACATATTCATGTACAGCATTCACAGAGGTTCACTGCGATAAATTGTCGACTTCCCCGTGTATAGAAAGTCAGCAAATGTATAACGGAATTGCTTAACCAACTCGATTCTAATGCATTCATGTATTATCCTCCACGGATGAAACAATTGAAATCAAAGTTGATACTTGTAGCTATATCAGTGTGGAGACAACTGTGCCCTGTACCAATTATATAAAAGTCATCAAAACATACTTGAATGTAGAAAATACATACACGAATCATGAATAATATTAAAGAAACGAAATCAACATCAGAGGTCAGTGCTATTTATAAGCCCTCCAAAACTCCTGATTATACATATGTGGTACAGCAAAAAGCAATGAGAGAAGACATGTCACTAAAAGAGGTGGACGAACATAATGACATTTTTCATTGCTGGTGATAAACCATCACAAAAAGATCATGTCAAACTTTTAGACTTTTAGACAAGCATGTGTATATACAACGAAATTCAATAAAGGAAATCGATATAAATTTTCATCATCGATACATATTTCATTTTTATACCATGAACAAGTGAAAAATATTTATATAAGGCAATATTTTTTTATAACAGACAGGTTTCGCAAAAGTAACCAACAGCCCATACAACATAGTCTGTATCTTACAGGCACTGCTTTTCTGGAATATTCAATTGATGTCTTTCTAACATGTATATATATACACGAGTTATGAGCATCAACAGGATCACAGTATTTTACACCGTTTCTTGTAATTTTATGCAATACCCTAATCAACAACCATCAAAAAATATATATGTCAGTATAAAAAATATCTTTTAAAATGTTGAAAAAAATACTCTATTTAACGTTCTCTGTGTAACGCTAATGGAAAGATATAATTTATGATAATGAAGACTGTCCATTAACAATGTATGCTATAAGTATTGCATTGATGTCAGCACCCGCTGTCATTCAAATAACTACAGAGAATTGCATTAACAGTGAAACATCCATTTCAATACATACATATATCCGAGATATTTGTGTATCAATTTAACCATACAATCAAAAACTGCACCTAAACATCTAAAGTGTCCATTTACATCTGTCAGCATCCCAAAATCAAAATATCATGTTGCATCCCATGTACAATAGTATGTAGTAAAAAATGTTGTTGCATTAACAAATGAACATTTAATATCTGTTTAAACAGATACAGCCATATAGCAATGGCGACATTTTACTTTATTTTTTATGAAATTAATGGTAGCCCTGTGTTACAGATGACTAAATGTCTCTTACACTAGCCAGACTGACATGTCATTTGTGACTATCAACACTACAGTCGTATCATACCATGACATGGATCCATCCTTCCTAGAAATGCCAAATTTATACACATCTTTCTTAATGTCTTAGTGGCAAATACCTCTGTCATAATGCTTTACCTAAATACTCAACGTATTTTATATCTTATCTGCAGATTATCAGTTTATCTTCCAGGTTGTGTAGTGAAGTGACCCATCTTAATTAATGACATATAATTTGTCTATGTATTACTGCATATACATGTATATTCTTCTACCAATAACAAACTACCAAAGTGATGACAGAGAAACTGTCAGAAAATTCCAGTTTTTAAACATTTTGATCAGTCAAAAATACAAAATATTCTTACAAAATTACTTCAACTGTAAACCCAAGTAGCAAGGTTCTTACATGGTCAATAGAAGATAATCTGTAAAATAAATTATTTACAATTCATAATGGAAGCACCATTTGGTGTATAAATCTATAATAACAACAAAGTTTCCAAAGTGATAGTAATATAAAACAGCTTCAATGACCGTCTTAACAACATTATTCTCATCCAAGAAAAGTACAAGCTTTAAGCAATTGTTCAGAAGTCTACATACATGCTGTCTCTATAGCAGACACTTTAGAATCGTCCAATAACTATACCGTAACAACTGAACACTTGATTAGCTTTCAGTGTTTGTTATACAACATTTATATCTACATTAAGCTTATTTTGGGCTAATTTTGAAAATGTAATGAGGCCCTTTTTTGTCTTTAATACTTACTGTTTTCAACAATTAGATACCTATATTTGCTATCAATAGGACCCTGCATACCCAAACATACATGTATCCCTCTCATTTTATTTTACAACAGGTGACATTAAAGAATACTGGTATTGTGCTCCCTAAACCAAGTGATATTAAGTTGTGTAGATTTCTGCTAGCATAGAAGTTTGTGTAATATTAATTTTGCAGATTTCTGCTTACATACCAAGAAAATATTAAGTTTTGTATTATAAATTGTGCAGACATTTGGTGATACACAAAGATTTATGTTATATATATTTTTAGGACCACTGCTTACCTAGATAATATTTGTTCCTGATAAACAAATCGTGTAAATTTTTACTTACATGGCAAGATAGTATTGATTTGTGTTATGTAAACTGAGCAGACATCTACTTAACACGCAGATGTAGAGAATATTTGTCTGTTTATAGATGGTAAACTTCTGCTGACATGCCTAAAGAATATGTGTGCTAAGTACATTGTTAAGGCACCAGCTTACACATTCTGAGGTTATAATATTATATGCATGATGCCCACTTCTGCTCGCACACTTAAGTGCTTGCATTATTTAAATTGCACAAACCACTGTTTACAGTACACACCTAAAGTATTCTTGTTTGTGATAAAGATTCAGTGGATTTAAACAGATAGATAATATTTGTTTGTGTTACAGAAATTCTGCATCTAATTAGAGTAAATGTTTGGTTTTTTCCATTGATCATATTTCACAGAATTTCCAAAAGCTTCCAACAAAAAAATATGTTTTTTTTTTCATGAAAGTCAAGAATCAATAAAATCTTTTCTCTAATAATGATATTTTCAATCATTTGGTTTTCATGATCTCATTCCATCCTTGAAAACTGTGAAATATATCACACCTTGAAAAGAGTGAAAAAATATAATTTTAACAGTGTATAGATCTCTTAAAAGATTGGGTAGAATCATGTCACCAAATATGGCCTTGTGGTTCATGTCAAGGTCATATTCAACCCAATAAACACCAGGAAATACTTCTTATTTCACCAGTGTACAGAATACACTGATATTGACCTTCAAATATGAAATAAGCCTGGCTGTAATAAGCTTATTGTTAACTTGGGCTTGTCAGGGCCTGGAATCTAGGGATGCCTGCAAAAACCTCACCATCTGTAAGACACAAGGTAAACTGTACAAAAAAGAGTAGACATATCCTGGTAATATTTCTTTTACTCCACCAAATAACACTTTAATAAGTCATTAATGCCATGTCAAATAAAAATTCTATCAACAAAATACACACAGATTTGACAGATACTGCTACAAAAAATGAATTCAATTTAACAGCATATACGCACTTATACATATGCTTCCCTGTCAATAAGTCCATGTCAGCGGATGAATACATATTCAGACATGCATGAAATCAACTCATTTCAGGTTACTCCAATTTTCAGTCATAAATATTAAGTTTCTCTTCTCTGAGTTTGCTTCAAACTGATTTAAATGGAATAAAAAAAACATATTTGTTATTCCAACTAAGTTTCTCTTCTCTGAGTTTGCTTCAAACTGATTTAAATGGAATAAAAAAAAACATATTTGTTATTCAAACTAAGTTTCTCTTCTCTGAGTTTGCTTCAAACTAATTTAAATGGAATAAAAAAAAAACATTTGTTATTCAAACTAAGTTTCTCTTCTCTGAGTTTGCTTCAAACTGATTTAAATGGAATAAAAAAAAACATATTTGTTATTCAAACTAAGTTTCTCTTCTCTGAGTTTGCTTCAAACTGATTTAAATGGAATAAAAAAAACATATTTGTTATTCAAACTAAATTTCTCTTCTTTGAGTTTACTTCAAACTGATTTAAATGGAATAAAAAAAACATATTTGTTATTCAAACTAAATTTCTCTTCTTTGAGTTTGCTTCAAACTAATTTAAATGGAAGAAACAAAACATATTTGTTATTCAAACTAAGTTTCTCTTCTCTGAGTTTGCTTCAAACTGATTTAAATGGAATAAAAAAAACATATTTGTTATTCAAACTAAGTTTCTCTTCTCTGAGTTTGCTTCAAACTGATTTAAATGGAATAAAAAAAAACCATATTTGTTATTCAAACTAAGTTTCTCTTCTCTGAGTTTGCTTCAAACTGATTTAAATGGAATAAAAAAAACATATTTGTTATTCAAACTAAATTTCTCTTCTTTGAGTTTACTTCAAACTAATTTAAATGGAAGGAAAAAAACATATTTGTTATTCAAACTAAGTTTCTCTTCTCTGAGTTTGCTTCAAACTGATTTAAATGGAATAAAAAAAACATATTTGTTATTCAAACTAAATTTCTCTTCTTTGAGTTTGCTTCAAACTAATTTAAATGGAAGAAACAAAACATATTTGTTATTCAAACTAAGTTTCTCTTCTCTGAGTTTGCTTCAAACTGATTTAAATGGAATAAAAAAAACATATTTGTTATTCAAACTAAGTTTCTCTTCTCTGAGTTTGCTTCAAACTGATTTAAATGGAATAAAAAAAACATATTTGTTATTCAAACTAAGTTTCTCTTCTCTGAGTTTGCTTCAAACTGATTTAAATGGAATAAAAAAAACATATTTGTTATTCAAAATAAGTTTCAACAAACAGTTCTGATAGTGGTAACATTGATTTCACTTTATAAATATTTTTCCTGCTAACGTTTTTACGGAACCAGGTTACTGAAGCTCATACCTACTGTTTAGTATTTGGGTTGAAGATCTGTGAAGCTCACAAGAAGACCAAATATTCTAAAACAGAATCACTGTAAATCATACTGAATAAATACAATTTTTGTTTAGAAAGAGAGAAATTCGGTCAAACTCACTTAGGACATTTTCTGGGACACTGAAAGGTGACTCGGATAGCTTGACCTCCGTGTTATACACCCAGTCTGGAATGGATTGGTCCGCCCACTGTAAATGTCAATACTAATGTAATTAAGTAGTCTGGGAAGAGTGTCCTACAGTGAATCCCCAGCACACTCCTACAGTGTCAGCACCACCTGAGAGACACAATGCGACCTCTGGCGGTACTACATCAATGTGTGCTGGGTTTGGAGTTCCTATCAAGTGACACTAATCAATACTAGTGTTCTATGTTGCCAGATTTCTGACGTTTATTTACTCTATCATCTCTCACATCATCGACAAGTGTTGTCATAGGAAAGCCTGTACTGTTCGGTAATTTAAGTATAACAAATGTAATAAATGACAACAGAAAGTGACAGTATACTATTGGTATGTACACTCAGGGAATGCACATCTTACCTGCTTATTTTTCTGATGCCAAATACATGGTATTGGGAGTGTAGTGATGAGACTGGCATTGTTCTTTAGTCTGACTAATATCTCCAGAACATATCGACACTAAAACATCAATAAGAAAAAAACACATTTAAATAAAAAGTTATTACTTTGTACAAATTCATGTAATGGTTTTAAACATAACCAATTATTCAATCCATTTTTTTAAGAATTCAAAAAATCATAACCAACAAGATTCATATTAATAAAAAATATTTTGATTTACCAGGTATCAATAAATGCGTTTCAAGATCATGAACCTGAGCTGTTGGCACAGCTGGTTTATAAAGGTGGGGAATACATTTATAATCAAAGTTAAGATTTCTTAATTCTATCACAAGAACAACAATCTCTACAGTGTACACTAACTATTTTCTGTATGATATATCAGATCTTTTTCTCATTTGTAGTGATTTGTAAGGTAGTCACAAACACCACATGGTAAAACCATTCATTACTTTTTACAGACAATACTTCATATGACAAATGATGCAAGAATATCATGATGGTACATCAAGGGAGAAAACCCTTACTATGTGTAAATTTTCATACCTTCAATCAGTTGTAATACAGGGCATTTGTGTCATTTACATATATGTGATTACCTGAGTCAGTGGTAATATTTACCTGTATGTGATTACCTGAGATAGTGGCAGCATTTACCTGTATTGTGATTACCTGAGATACTGGTAGTATTTACTTGAATGTGATTACCTGAGACAGTGGCAGCATTTACCTGTATGTGATTACCTGAGTCAGTGGTAATATTTTCCTGTATGTGATTACCTGAGACAGTGGTAGTATTTACCTGTATGTGATTACCTGAGACAGTGGTAGTATTTACCTGGATGTGATTACCTGAGATAATGGCAGCATTTACCTGTGTGTGATTACCTGAGATAGTGGTAGTATTTACCTGTATGTGATTACCTGAGATAGTGCCAGTATTTGCCTGTATGAGATTACCTGAGACAGTAGTGTTATTTACCTGTATGTGATTACCTGAGACGGTAGTTTTATTTACTTGTTTGCAATAACCTGAGACAGTGGTGATACTTAGTTGTGTGAAATTACCTGAGACATATGTGTTATATACCTGTATTTGATTACTTGATACCAGCTGTTATTTTTACCTGTATGTGGTTCCCAGAAACAGAAGACGGGATGGGTAAATGTGGATCCTGAGACTCCAGCAGGGGTATGATAAAATTGTCCAATCCCCTGCTTGGAAATGCAAACAATTTCAATGTCAACTTCCAGAAAGCATCAAAAAAAGAAATATTAACACTAAAAGGTAGGGTTTTATAGATCTGTTTATTCTGCTGATTTGCCAAATTTCTGTATTCCAAATTGTTATGGTAAAAAGATACAATAATTATATTAATTACCTGACATCATTAAAGCTCTTATTTAACATAAACCACTCATCATCAATTTTCCCTACAACTTTTATCTCTGTCAAGCATTTCTTTATCATATTTATTATATTTTTTTGTTATATTTCTACCATTGGGTTAGATTTTTGACACTTTCAGTCTGTAATTACCTGTTGAGAACATCAGCTATACACCCCTGAACTTGTATATCCTGTACTATGAACGGTCCTTTCTCTGGACATATGTAGATTCTATCCTGTGTCTCCTGAATACTGTTGTCTTTACACATCTTTGTGCCAGACAATCCACCTTTGGCTACAAAAGTTATCTCCCTTACCAGTCGCAATGTTATGTTACTGACATCTTTATCGGTCTGGTTGGTGATGGTAATTCCCACTTTCATTACCTTCCCCGTTTGTTGAACATTTCTCTGCAGTCTGTATATCAGAAAAAAGTTTCTTTTTTTACATCTTTTTCTATGTTACTTGTAATTTACATTTTCTCACTTCACAACATAATCATCTGACAGCTGCTTCTGGCTGTGAATGAAGTCTTTAGCCAGAGGCATTTTGTCTCAGCAAAATAATGATGGTAAATACTATATATCAACTATGATAAAAAATCCTAATGGAAATGAAATAACTCTATTGATGGCACTGATTGGTCGATGGTGTTCTATAAATAGTAATGGCAACATTTAATCCCTAAAATATATCTTCCTCCAAGAATTTTTACCAAGGGAGGTTTGTAAAAATCTTTTAATAAAAAATCTATCACAAAAGTGATGTCCTGAGAGTGATGAAATGGATTTGTTTTTCAACAAAAATCACACTCTACTGCTTTTGCTTTTAACATGAATCACATACAAATTCAACTTTTTTGACCCAGATCTGCATGTAAATACAGTGTACAAGTTCTTGAAAAGAAGATTTCCACTTTTTCATTATGAACTTACTTTGCTGTAACAAAGAGAGATTTCTTGAAAAATAGGAGGTGGGTGATATCCAATCTGTTGGTAACTGCTTGTGGGGTACCTGAGCTCTCTGTCCTCCCCAGTGGGTGGTATACAACTATTGTCACGGTTGTCTGCAAGAAAGCAAACATACAACAAATGACATCATAACCTTACAATATACATATATATACATTCCATTAAAATCTTACAGTCAGAAAAAATATACCGGTATTTAGGTTGACAATAATATTCTTCATTCAACAATTATTTGAAATTATCATTTAAATTGTTTCCTCTTTAAAATCATTAGAGCAGTTTGAATATCAGTGAAGTTTTCATCTCTGGCAACATGTGAAAAATCCAAACAAAATACATAAAACATGATAGTATATTAAGGTAAAGTATATTATGAAAATCTGATAAATTCTTTGGTTTTTATTACACTCACATTCAGATTTGAAGCATCAATCACTTCGGCACTCAGAGTATACCCCACCTTGGCTGTCCAGTTAGAGTCTGGCCCTACCCCAGTGGCTTCAAACGTTGCTGAGTAAAATTGATTCAGGGATTCAAAATTATTTCAGCAAATCTTGACATTTCTATTAGCCTGGTTCATTTATTCAAACCGTATTGGATTTGAAACAATTGATTCACTGAACTGTGTTTACAAAATGTATGACATTTGTAACTGCTACATGTATAAGAGATATGCCCCTTGATAGTGTCAGTATGGAGCAAGCGTGTGCTTCATGGCTTTTTCAAAGACTCATGAAAAATTAATGGAATGGTGGTGTGAATTAGTAACTCAATAAAACAAACAGATTATCACATGATTAGCTTTCTTCTCATGGAAAAAATTCTTGCTTTTAAATGGTAGTTTTATCAAACAATCTCAGGTGTCAAAATTACTTCAAATTATTTCATAAGATCAGTTGTACTCTAAAATTCATATTATGAGCAATTCTCAGTGTTATACCAAAAAATAAACTTACCAGGAATTTCGGTAAGCAGTCGAATTCTGAATGGAAAGGTATAACTGCCGAACATGAAAATATCTGAAAGTAAATATATACCCAATATATACACATTACATATTTTACAAATATATTTCAAAGTGATTCTATTAAAATACATCAACATATACTTGTATATGTATTCTTACCCACATGTGTTGTAGTTTTAAATTTGATGAAATATTTATATTTATCAAGAAAGAAGTTATAAACATTTGATTTGATAATGTTATGATTTACAACTTAATCATTTTCTAGAAAAGTACAAAACTGGTAAAACTATAAAGAACAATCAATACCTTGACTCTTGTAGAGATCAATATCAGGATAATCCAAATAATGTTTCTTTGCTTCAAATTTCTCTTCTGCTGGTGGATTTCCCACTCTATACACAACTAAAGCAATAGAAAATCCAGAAATTATTCTCTTCTGCTGGTGGATTTCCCACTCTATACACAACTAAAGCAATAGAAAATCCAGAAATTATTCTCTTCTGCTGGTGGATTTCCCACTCTATACACAACTAAAGCAATAGAAAATCCAGAAATTATTCTCTTCTGCTGGTGGATTTCCCACTCTATACACAACTAAAGCAATAGAAAATCCAGAAATTATTCTCTTCTGCTGGTGGATTTCCCACTCTATACACAACTAAAGAAATAGAAAATCCAGAAATTATTCTCTTCTGCTGGTGGATTTCCCACTCTATACACAACTAAAGCAATAGAAAATCCAGAAATTATTCTCTTCTGCTGGTGGATTTCCCACTCTATACACAACTAAAGCAATAGAAAATCCAGAAATTATTCTCTTCTGCTGGTGGATTTCCCACTCTATACACAACTAAAGCAATAGAAAATCCAGAAATTATTCTCTTCTGCTGGTGGATTTCCCACTCTATACACAACTAAAGCAATAGAAAATCCAGATTCAATAATACATGTTCATGTAATATACATTGTAAATACACAAAAGTTCTCGCTAAACAAAAGAGCAAATTTACAAATTTTGATAATATTTACTTTGGACACAAAGACTTTAATGAAATTTATACCATAAAGAGAGGAGCAAACCCTAGGAATAAAATCAGATGCAACAGACAAACACAACAGCATTTTCATTTCATAATGGCAGTGGTGACGATTGTTCACCTGCTCTCTACAACCCAACTCAACCCCTCCAATCAAATGATGTGTATGTTTTAGTGCATATTAGTCTGTGGTCCCAAACACCATCTGTTAGACTCTTTTATTCAGATAACAGACACATACACTATACGTCTGTAATTATCCATCAGATATCCTCTATTTCCAAGAACACCTGATGCATGAATGATGTTATGATATGGGTATTTCTGATGACGTTTATTAAACACATGTACACAATACTCACAATGTTCACAACCTTGAAATTTCAGTCGAATGCCACATCCAGTGGTTGTACTCACAATATTTAAGTAAACAACTCTGTAAAATGACAAATGTTATATATATATATATATATATATGAAAATGGTGCCAATAAATTTAAATGAGATATGTGAATCAATTATTACAAAAAATATATGGTAGGGTGTAGAACCGGTTCAACCATTCTGAACATCTGAATTTGTATGATTGTGTTGTTATTCTAGATTATATAGATGTAATGAAAAATATTTTATTGTCAAACTTGAACGTGCTGATGACCATCAAACATTTGTCTTTGGGTTTTCACAACTTTACAAGATTCAATTTTTGGTCCTGAAACTATAATGAACATTTGAGTGTACAAAATTATTTGGTATATTTAGTTTGAAATGGTTGTTAAAACTATTTTTTGTTTGTCAACAATAACTTTTTCCAATACTGTAACAAGTGTCAGAAGAAAAGAAATCAGAGTGAGGCTAATATGAAACAATTTATAGAAGGGTACAGATCTAGACTGACAGAGCAGCCAAAGAGCATAAGAGATAGTATAAGTTTAGTCCCTTGGCCAAACTGAAAATAACCATTTGGACTCGTATATGTAAATACCTTTTAAGGATTCTTGAGGAAGATTATAATCCAAAAAAGGATTAATCAATGATATACATATCAAAGTACTTTTCAATATATTTCTAATATATTTGTACAGAAACTTGCAGATGTAAAAAAATTGATGCCAATACACAGAAAGTGCTAAAGTGAATGTTATATGTATGAATACATATTCTTTGTTTATCTTCAGAGAATAATTGTGATTCTCTTTTAGCCCTGCCCCTCAAACAACTGTGGGTCAGTTATATCATTTACAAAGAAATTGTCCGTTATCTAGAGGCAAATACATTTGCAGTTTTAGAGGCATTTTCTATTGCATCATTAGCAAAGTAAAATTCAGTTTTAATGTATTTTTTAGTTATTGTTTCAGTTATTGGGAATAACGCAATCAATATAGAAATATATATGGATAACAGATGCTGTTGTCATATGATGTAATTGATGATTGTTTAGTTTTATCTATAATTTCTGTGACCAATATTTAGTTTGTTTAATAAAATAAAATAATTTGCATACCCCATATGCATGAAATATTATCACATTTAATGATAGGTGTATATGTCAGTTCTTGAAACTTACAATATTGGTAACATTTCTACTACCCACTAAAAGTAACTGATTATTCTTCATTTTGAACGCACTGAAAATTCAGAGGTCAGATTATTTTTATCACACAAATCATATACTAACAAATAAACAAATATTAAAAAAAAGCAGCCTAAAAATGAATATATCTATAAAAATAAATATATCTATGAAAATATCTTTTGCCAATTGAAGGGAATTTAAGCAATAATACATTTAAGAAAAGAGGGTTATTTATGTAAATCTGGGTGACAATATCAACTTTCAGACTGTTGATTTACAAGTTGATAATCATGAAAAAATATGTGAAACTTCATATCTATATTTCCAGCAGGTTTATACAACACATCTTAATAGTATCATAAGCAAAATGTGTTAATAATCTGCTCTATTTGCTATTCATGATGTTCTTTTTGTCACTGGGCATGGTGCCACTTTCTGCATCTGTTGATGTATCCATTTGAAAAAAACACTTCTACATTTGTAAAAATCAATGTTCACTTTTGATATTAGTTGTATGTTTTATTTATGTCTTAAAGTATTTTAAATTGTCTTTTGGTCTTGTGAGACCAAAACAAAAATAGGTATTTTTTAATATATAAATATAATGTTTAAAATATGACGATATACATGCAGAAATAATGCATAAGAACCATTCAAACGGCGCTATTTTACGCAGATTCTGCACGATTCTGTAAATCGTCGAACGATCCTGTAAATAGTCTGACCCATTATACATGTATACGCAGGGGTGGAAAGAAGGAAATGAATATTTAGAGGCGTTTGTACAGAAAACAACTGAACAATTCGATAGAGTAATCCCTAAAGAAAACGGAAAATATCCTAAAATAGGATTATATACTAAAAAGGGAGAATCTGATAAGTGAAATGTGTTTCTATAACATAATAATAACCATCCCATCCTGATGAACAACTGAGCCGTATCTGACTTACCCATAAATATCTTCTCCAGGGAGGTACTCGCCTTTATGGCTCCGAAGCACAATTTGGTTCATGACAGCGCGAAGAAATAATTTGTAATGACATCCTAAGTCTTGATGGTAACCAGCTAATAGTTGTCATTGAGGACGTTAAGTTTCTTCATTTTCGGCAAAAATAGCACCATGATGCGGAAGTAAATAAAACGGCCGGATGTAAACACTGTGTAACAAAATAAGAGTTAAGTCAATATTTTTTTCCGGATAGCGCCGCCAAGTTATTCAGAGCCGTGCCAGACTGAAGATTATTTCCATTTTTTTGGTGTAAGTTTGAGACATTCAAACAGTTAATCATAATTGGCGTCACTGATGAAAACTTCATAACAACGGTTGAATTTTGAAATGCTGCCACACAATCATGTACACGTATTCAGTGTTTAAAATTAAAGAAAAATAATAACAGAAACATAGAGAAATTCACTGAGTTTGATATAGATTTATGTACTTGGTTTTGGAATTCGGTGATCAAAATGGATAGAAAATAAAGATACAAAGAAAACCCATTTTCCCTCTTCGTATTAAACATATCTTTTTTTTTTTTTTTTTTCAAAACTTTTATTAACAAAAGACAATGACATATACAATACATACAAAGCATGGACATACTTTACATATACAGTAACAATACAAAACAATTTTTAACATTGATATACCAATAATCTTGACATTAATACGATAACATATATATATATATATATATATAAATCACTACCTGATTGAGAAAGTAAGGCTGTCACTATGCTGTGTAGGATGTAGTTTTGTCCCTTTAAATGTCCAGGGGAGACCATTTTGCTTGATATTTTTCAAATGAATTATTAATTTTTGAAATAAATTTTTCAGTTTCATTTTGTTGATAAATGAGAGTTTTACATTCTGTAAATGTTGGTTGAATTTCTTTGTATCGGCAGATATAAATGTAATATTTCATGGTTAGGATCAGATGATTTATAACTTTTGGGCCCTTTTCACAAATGAAGAGTATGTCATAAGCATCGAAAAAATCAATTTCAAAATTATCAGTTACTGAATTTATCCATACCTTAAATTCATTCCAAATTCTTTTAACAATTACACAATTGAAAAACAAATGTATTAGTGTTTCAGTTTCATTTTTACAAAATGTACATTTATCATCACCAGTAATTTTGATTTTATATAAAAACTCCTTAGTAGTCAAAATTCTGTGTAGTCGTTTAAATTGAAAATTTTGCATTTTTGTTTCTATTGTACAGTATTTTGGTAATGTATATATTTTACTCCAACTTATCTTAGTTTCTATGTTCACATTTAAATCTCTATTCCATTTAGCTTGTTTTCCTACAGGATCTATTTTAAGTTTGTTCAGTAAGGATTCATATACAAATTTCAAGTCATTTTGAACCATTATTTTCTGAAAATCAGATAAATTTGCTTCATCATTAGGAGTAATTATATCTCTATTTTGTCGTAACTCATGTAATTTATTTTTTGGAAATTTTACTTGTCAGAGCAAAGTATTGAATAAAGTTCATAGTAGGACATTTAACTTTAATATGTTCAAAATTTAGAAAATAAAATATATTATCTAACAGGTCGTTAATCTTTTCAACCCCAGATTGTTGGAATGCTATAAATTGTTTGAAATCTTGAAATGGAACATAGTTTAATATATCTTCATGTAATAAGTCTGTAGGTTTATCTTGGGATTTTTTAAAATCTATCCATGCTAAAAGTGTATCTTTCCAAAAAGGATTTGATATTTTTTTACTTATTTCGTTTAAAGTAACATTGTTAAAATTCCAAATTCTCTCGTTACCAAATTTATAAAGTAAGGTTTTAGTCAAAGTTTGCCATTGGCCATCACCTGTGTATAATCTTTTTAACCATTTTACCTTTAAGTATTTAATAAAGCTTTCTATGTGTATCATTTTCAAGCCACCTTCATCATGATCAAGTATCAAAGTGTTTCTTTTAATCCTATCAGGTTTGTACCCCCATATAAATTTATAAAAAACAGAATTAAATTCTTGAAGCCATTTTTTCCTGGGTTTGGTAAAGAGTAAAATAAATGTGGTAATATGGGTAATGCAAGTGTTTTGACTATTGTGATTTTTCCAATAAGAGAAAGTTTACGTCTCGACCACATACCTAATAGTTTTTTAATGTTAGTTAGCTTATCCTTAAAATTGATTTCAATAATTTCAGACAATTCTAATGAAAAGTTTATTCCCAAAAGTTTGAATTTATCAGTTGACCATTGAAGGTTAAGCTCGGGGCATAAGATCCGATGGAAGTAAACTTAAACTAGATATGTTTAATACGATAGGATCGTATTAAACATATCTAGTTTAAGTTTACTTCCATTTCTAGAGAAAAACTATCATATTTTTGATAGGTTTTTACAAAAAATTCAGTTTTGTAAGTTAATCTCAGCCGATGTCAAGTTACTGATAAAAAGAGAAAGAGAAGACAGGAGGAAAGAGCCAAACCTTGACTAATCGGAACAGACATTTGTGCGGTATGTTTATAATGTTCATGATATTTGTCATATATGTAACCTTTATGAATGAAACCCGAAATCGTCAATTTTGGGGTTTCTTTACGGGGAGAGAGAAAAAACATATTCAGCTATGTTTGAAGTAGAATACCTACTGTACCTTTTACGTATACTAGATATAAGTCCGCTGTAAAACCAGATAAAATAGCGTCGAGATTTGTCACAATGCCCCAATAGAGGTGTTGCAGTTAACACATTGTTAACTTCATGTATCAATATGGCTTGATAACAGGTATTTCTAAGTTGCCGGTATTAGTGTTTATTAGAAAATACAATTGCTTAATCATAGTAACAATATGATTTCGCCTTTAACTTCTTAAATATGACATCTTATTTATCTTTCATACATGACCTATGGTACATTAACATATATACCAACCTGATTTAGCTGCCTTCATCGTTGACTCTCACTTTACATTGTATGATTTAAAAACGCAAAGTTTATCATTTATCGATATTGATAACTTATTTGGACTTTGACATTTGCTGACATATATATTGACCTTTTGCACAGCTCTACACTGTAATAAGATTTATAAATGAAAACGATACATTATTGATTGACATGGGTGACTTATTAACCTGCGATTTTTGATGATCTATGTATTGACCTTGATATAGTATTGCATTGTAATAAGATGTGCAAAGGAAAAGTATATAACATGATTGATATTGATTATTCATTTGACCTTTGTCTTTGGTAACCTATATATTGACCTTTGACATATATCTGTCATCTTTAGATATACGCAATCAAACAACTTTGAAAATTGCTGGGAGTGGATGACAATTTGATATTTGACGTATGGACCTTCGTTATGTAATCAGAAGTATATTATATTCATAAGTATTGATGTCCAATATACCATTGACTTTTGTTGTCTTTTATAATGTTATTTGTGACCCCAATGCAAAAGTTGACAAATTACTTAATTCCGCTTGTTTTCACATACTGGATTTTTTTTTCTCTTTCTCTGGAGAAATATTGATATCATCTGATATTACTGTGTTTATATTATCGTCCCAATAGTCATCAGCTGCTTCATTATATTCTTCGTCATGGCCCTCTCCAGACCGATTGTTTTATTTTTGCGTCATGACCCAATCCTTCTCCATTCCCATACTCTTCTGTCCCATCCTCAGTAATATCAGATCGATTTTCTCATTTTGTCTATCTTTCCTGGTGTACATAACTTGTCCCAACGTTTTTGCTATAATGTATGGAAATGAAATGATTGGTTTTAACATTAACAAGAATTATAACCAATATGACATGTGCTCTTATCTATTGGTCTGAACATACATCAGCGGTGTAATCATATATATGGAAGTAAGGAGATCTTTACAAAAGTAAAAAGTTGGCAGGAAGGAAATGATTAAATTTGTAATGATTACCCGATCTATCGGTCAAGTGTCAACAATGAAATGACGTTCCATGCGTCTTAGAGAGGGGCAGATGATGCGCTGTCCATTTTTCCATTCTTTCGGTGTCCTTATAAGTATTTTCTCAACAACAAAATCAATCTCGCGGCATTAAAGACAAATTAAGTATACTGGGAGCGAAATTGTTGTTTCATGAGTTATGGAATCACCTAGTTTACTTTACAAGGAATGTGCAAGTATTGTGTTTGGTGAACACATCGTGCCTTTGTTGAATGTCTGTAAGTCACCCACTAAGTTTTAGATATCCTGAAACATGGATTTAAAAGTAATAAGAAACTGAAATAATAATTAAATGAATACATGTAACTTCACAAACCTCGCATCATACCGCAGTTTATCATAACAGACCCAAATATCAGCAGTCCAGAAATCAAGGTTAGACCTTTCAGTAAAGTTTTAAACTTGTCATACAAAAATATTTGTATCAGACCACATAGGCTCTCAAAAATAGGAAAGCAACATTAGTTCCACTTTATAACCGACCATCTTGAAAAAACGCTGGAAACCGATATAATCTTCATATATTTCATAACCGTACTAGCTTCGGATTTTATTATACATCGTACTTGTATCAATGGATCAGTACTCAAAATGTTTAAGTTTAGTGTATAATACTGTAATGGTAAATTTATCAATCAATAAAAAAGGGACTGTGCTACAACTAAATTACAGAACTACCACAAGAGTATCAGATAAATATCAGATAAATGTGACAAGGAAAATGCATCTTAATATTCTGTGGCCATTCTTCGACGTTGCCTATAAACCTGCTCTTAACTTAGATAATTCAACAGGGAGTAGTGTCATAGTAGAGTATAGACCTGGGATTATGTTTAAATATTTACATTTCCAGTGTGTATCCTCTATATAGACCTACCAACGACATTGACGTTTACATTTCGGTAAACCTTACGCGTATGAATACATTATTTGTAACCGTGACCTTCCCCTTCAAAGTAGCCGCATCACTGTAACACTCTTACGCAATTAATGTCAATGCGCAGTGATTTTTTTCTTCAAAGTTCTAACATTTAATAAACCTTTATTAAATTAAATATGTTGTATAAATATAAGTATAATGATAAAAGGGAGAAAATGTT